GGAGACAAATGAAAGGAAGTGGGAGACAAGCCAGCCGGGAACCCGACTACAAGCACCCAGCCTGGGAGACAAATGGAGAGAGACTGGGAGACATGTGAAAAGAAGTGGGAGACAAGCCAGCCGAAAACCCGACCACAAGCACCCAGCCTGGGAGACAAATGAAAAGAAGTAGGAGAGGAAGTGGGAGACACATGAAAAGAAGTTGGAAACAAATGAAAGTGGGAGACAGGCACCCAGCCTGGGAGACAAATGAAAAGAACTGGGAGACAAATGAAAGGAAGTGGGAGACAAGCCGGCCGGGAACCCGACCAGACCATCCAGCACCAAGGCGACCATTCTTTAAAGCATTGAGAACCCCAACAGTAAACTGTTTGGGGAATAACCTTAGTTGAAGCCCTCCACCTTTCAATATAGTTATATATAAGATTATATATATATATATAATATGAGGCAACCCCAGAACCATTTGCTAGATTCTAATGAAATGTGGAAGTACTTGAACTTGATTCATTCGAGGCCACGGGACATGACTGCTTTCGGATCAGCTGATTCCTTTTTTTGATGTAACACCTTGGTCCGGGGGAGTTCTGGCGGTTTGAGGTTGTAAACCAAGATACGTGTTTCTGAAAAAGCAGCCCGAAAGACGATCATTTGGATCAGTTTGGTCCATCGAAGCTTTGTGCAGCTAGAAGTGAATTTCATCACGCTATTAGAGGCAGAGTAAGAGATGAGATTTGAGTGAATTGTGGATGAGTCTGGCTGTCCAGATTTGAGCAGAAACATGCTCGGAGGAAGTTGTTTCAAAACTAGAATCAGTCAAGGACAGAGGCAACATCCGTGAGATGTTTGACTCACGGAACCTAAATCCAGTCCAGTTGCTGAGGACCGAGGCAAAATCCAGTCCAGTTGTTAGGATATTCTCTGAGTACATGCAGCCCTTTGACCCTCTGAGGTTGGGCAGCCCAGAGACCTTTGAAGCCAAGCTGGAACAGGCTCAACATGACTTGGGAATCCCAACGGTGGACTATGTGCCTGTTCAGTTCCTTCGGCATGGTGGGACAGGGCTTTGCCGGGCTTTGCGGTGGACTTTGATTGCATATCTTGGTGGAAGAGCTTCACATTTTCAGAAGAAATGGCATCGGGAGTTCCTTTAGGCTCTTTTGGCAAGAGTGGGGCCCGTGTGTCAGGCTGCTAGTCACGGGCAATTGAATGATCCAATTCTTGTGAAGAGGGCCGCACAGAGCATTTTGCTCAGGTACATAGAGGAGTCGGATTGGCGCTCCGACATTCTGCCTCATTTGCCCACTGCACTCTTCGTGGTTGTCCCTCGGCTTTTGACCAACCGCCTGGTCAAAGTTTGTTGGCCAGTGCTTAGTCTGTCAATGGGACCTGGTAGACTCTTGAGCCGTTTAAATTTGGCCGGCTCTGGATTGGCGGTTTGCCAGGATCGCGAATCCCCCGCATGTGTACTGTAGATCTGTGTACTGTAGCAGTTTTTGATCTGGAGCTCCCAGCAATTCCGTAGTACCACAGCAAGAAGTTGAAGTCCCAGAACTGGCAAAGGAGGTCAATGCTTGACACCCAGGTTGTTCAAGGGTTTTATGGGCTCTTCCCAATGGTCTGACCTGCCAACCCACACCGACCCCCCCCCCCCCGTTCACCGGCCGCGTCCTCCGAGTTACTCTTCATGGGCTTAAGCTCCATGGCCAGCATGGGCGCCAGTGGCATGCCGGGCGGTCCGGGTGCAGGCCCAGGGGGGCGGAACATCTTCAGCATCGGCAAGGCCTTCCCACAGGGGGCCAAGGACCTGAAGTCCAAGGCGGGATGTGGAACATCCGATAGAGGGATGGAGTCCAGATGGATTTGAGATGCGAATGCAGAGACGTAGAGTAGATTTGCAGGTAGTTGAGAATTGATGCGAAAAGTATGGGAAAAAGATGGAAAAAGTCGAAGTTCAGCCTCCTCCCCAGCAACGCACCGACCAAGGTCGAATCTGTTTTTCATTGGTCCCTTGTCCTCGGTGACGGGTTCATGCCCTCGGAAATCTGCATCGGTGCCAGGTGAAGTTCCCTGACGTCGCCGGGTTGGACCAGGCCAAGTCGGATGCTCAGGTCGCAATAGCGTCCTTGCTCCTAGTAGCGATGCCTTTGTTCCTAGTGGCTTCTTTGCTCCTAGTAGTAAGGCCAGGAGCTACTAGTAGCGTCTTTGCTCCTAGTAGCGATGAAAGAAGAAGTCTTTTTGGTTTTGTTGTGGGGGACAAGTGGTGTGGCCAAGCAGACTTTTTTCTTTGTGCATTCCTGGGGTCATGGATGTCATGGCAACGTTGGTATTTCAAACATGACGACCTTGTGAGGAAATTAGAGTCATGTGTATGAGAAATTATATAGAATATATATATATATATATACAGATAATGTAACAACAACTTTTGTTCACAAAAAAGTAATCAGGGAGATCGTTTTCAGATGGCTGTGTTCTTTTTTCTTCAGGGTGCTTTACTTGTCTCAACTCAACAATCAATGCGCTTTAACACGCGATTTGCATGCATGGAGCGACATCCGTCCCCACTGCGCAGACTGCTTTTGTATCTTTTCACGTGTCTTTTGTGAGGAAGTGATGGAGTTTGTAGACTTCCTGCAGAGCCCCACCAAGTACCAGCAGCTAGGAGGGGGAGTGAAGATAAACATTTCAATAACTTTACATAAAACTTCAGTTGGATGCTTTCCAGAGACTTGTTTGTTTTACTCCTTTTTCCTTCTATGGCATGCTTATTAGTAGCTCCTTGCCAGGAGCTCGAGTTCCTCGGGGTGGACTTCTTGTTGGTCCACCCGGGACCGGGAAGACCTTGTTGGTGCCCCGGGCTGCGAAGGAAAAACCACCGACCTTCCGGGAGGTTTGGACATTTCCACCCAAACTATTGGGGAGGAATTGGAATTGGGGCCTGAGCTACTGGGAACCATTGCCCCTTTCTTGGCTAGGGGGACCAATCGATTTGAACCGCAGAACTCCTTGGTTGTTTGCCTGGGGTGAAGAAGTTAGCAGTTGTCCAGCCTCTCTCACTAGCTACAAGAATTCATCACCTTTGTTCATTGGGGTGCAATTTGGCCAGGTATTTTGCCACATCTGCCAGAAAGCCTCTCCAGTCCTGAGCCGTTCTTCCGTCGTTTGGAGTTGACTCACCTCCGAACACGTTCCCCGATGCTGTGTGTGCCAAGGCCAAGGCAGTTGCTGGTGAGGCAGACGTGCCCTTCTTCTCCATGCGCCTGGGCAAAGGTTTGAGGTTTCGAAGGTTGGCAAGCATGACTAGTAAGGAAGTTTGGTTTCCTTTGGCAGCCTGAAGTCTTTAACAGTCCGCGCTTTTCCCGCTCTGGACCCTTTTTTTCAGTTCTCTCAGCACCAGAAACTGGCCTTGTGCATGAACAGGAGCGGCTCGGACTTTATTGAGATGTTCGTGGGTGTGGGACCCTCGCGTGTCCGTGACCTCTTTCAGCAGGCGAGGCATGACCGATTGAGCCCCAGTACTGTGGCGCCACGGTTTTAGGGGAGACAGATGAAAGAACACCTGGAGGCTTTCTAATTTTTAGATGGTAAATCTATGTGGAGAATGCCATGCTCTCATACTCTGTTTCTCCCATTCCAAGGGCATTCGAGTTGACGAAACCGCCTTGAAAGCAGATGGTTCGATCACAAGGGTTGTAGGGTTGGCCCATTCGGGACCAACGAGGTCATCGATGGTCATGGGCAACAGACCTTTGGCAGACCATTGCCATTGGCTCTTTCCTAGCCGGTGGTGTAGCTGGGTGCCCATCGAATCGCTGCGTAGGCTCGTGCACAATCGCCATCGATTGTGTTTATTGATGAGATTGATGCAGTGGGCCGACGGCGTGGGAAAGGCGGCTTTGGAGGTGGCGGCAATGATGAGCGAGAGAATACTCTCAATCAGCTCCTGGTAGAAATGGAGACTTGCCGTCATGCAGCTGGGAGACGAGCACGAACACACATTGATCGTTTGCAACCAGGTGATTTTCGCTGAATGGCTAGACAAGCGGAACTGATTTGCGGACTTCGTACGGTACCGGAGAAGCACAGATTTCACCACGGGGACAGGAGCTCAAAAAACCCTGGTCTAAAAAGTCTGTTATGATGCAAAACCAACAGTCGTCTACTCACAACAGGTTGACCCATCCTTCATTGACTGAGATGATATATATATATATATAATATATAACTGTATTTGTCGGAAACTGGCTTAAAATGAGTGACAGTGACCGACTGCACATGACCCTTCTGATCACAATGCGCAAGACCCTTCTAAGGTACCTTGCAAAGTGCAGACCCCCCCATATTATTCTCTTGACCACTTCAGCATCAGGTCATTTTAAGCTCGAACTCATTTTTTTCATCTTCCACAAACTTTGAGTGGCCTTGACATGCTGACTCCCATTTTCAATCCCCTCCCACTCGTCATTCCCCGTCTCCCAGTCCGACTCTGCGGTCTCGGTCCCAGGATGGCTTTTCGTCAGGCACCGGTGTAGTGGTCCTCGCGGGCACCAATCGCGTGGACATCCTGGACCCCGCGCTGACGCGTCCGGGGCGCTTCGATCGGCAAATTGCCATTGAGAAGCCCGACCTGGCGGAAGCCTGGGCTGTGAAAGCCAGGAACCTTCGGGGGGGAGGCATCTCAGTTTGGTCCGGAAGAATGATGGAGGGTCTATGACCAATTTCAGTGTTTCTAAGATAAACATTATATTTTGAAGTTTCTTGCAAGCAGATTCGAGATGGAATGGACGCGCCCAATTCGTCTACACGGGTGGTGGCTCAAACATGTAAGACGCAAAGTGGTGGGAGGTTTTGGGGCACCCAGATCTTTTGAACTAGCGGCTTTCCCAAGCCGACCTGGTCGTGGTTGAATATGGTGTCCCCTAAATTCTGACGCAGCGAGACAATTCCGATTGTGGATGTCGTTCTTCCACTGGGCTGGAGGTGGTTCCATGAGTTTCTGCCTACACCCAAGTATGTCAAATTCGTTCGGTCTAGGGTTGTCGATTGGGAATGGACCTGGGGTACTTGCAAGATCCTGCAAGTGAATCTAAAATATGACATTGCAGATTTCAGATTGACATATCCAGAGGCTTTTTCAACGAACCCTTCACGTCTGACGAGGGATCATGTATTACCTCATATGGGTGTCGTGTCTGGGGTCACATCACCGTGTTTTCAGCGGTGCGGTGGGTCGCGGTGGGCCGTGTTTCTGCCCGTGGTCCCTTGAGCTGGAGAGATGTGTGGAAGATTCTGCCAAACCTCCAATTCCACGGTGGAGTACACGCCACTGATTTTTGGATTGGGTCCTTTTCGAGGCTTGGAAGCTCCTGAATGAATGTTGCATGTTCGCTTTCAGAGTGCTTGATGAGGAAAGAGAGCAGATCTTTATGGTTCACCTGAAGCTTGGCCGAAGCAGCTTCTTTTCATTCCTTTTTGGAATGATTTGGACATGCCCTCCCCAGTGTGCCATACCCACCGTAAGGGATGCCAACTCGGATTGTTTTCTCACTCTTCCAACTCACGGCATGGATTCCATGGATTCCCACGTCGAAGACGCATCGGTCAAGTCTTCCAACCAACTGGGCCAGGGCGGTCATCTACTTTCCAATACTTTCCGCTGTTTGGAGGCGCTTGCCCAAGACTCGCGGAGAAATCCACCCGGGCGTTCGCCCCAAAAGCGATGGGTTCTGGTTGAAACACCAGTGATCACCGGACCGTCATTGTCGAATCGAGGAAACCCATCAACCTACAAGAAGGCCTAGCAGTTGAAGATGTGGCGAAGAGGATGGCATCTCTCACACCGGGCTTTGTTGGTGCAGACATTGCCTGCTTGGCCAAAACGTCTGGGAGCGATCGGTGTTGTGCGCAAGACCAGAAATCACTAAAGACAAACAGGTTCTTCAGCTTTAGCTTGAGTAGCTTGGGCACGAAAACCAGACACATTTTGATGGCAGTTAGCCGGGTTTGGAGTTGCATGCAGTATCATTTCAGCAAAGCTTTTGTAGCCAGGGTATTCCATATGGAGCGGTGCAGTTGTCCAATAGCATCCTGCTGCCTTTACCCTTCTCACTGTTTGGGCAGCCAAGGGGCGATCGGCACACCCGTACGACAAGCGTACTCTAGTAGCGTCCTTGCTCCTAGTAGCGATGCCAGGAGCCCCTAGTAGCGTCCTTGCTCCTAGTAGTAAGGCCAGGAGCCCCTAGTAGCGTCCTTGCTCTGAGGCCAACGTTTGCAATGAAGCAGCCATTTTCGCGGCAAGGCGAACGGCTGAGCATGTCGAGATGCAAGACTTCGAGCAAGACGCCCGGCAGAATGGTATGGTGACCTAAGGTAGTCCCAACATCAAGAGGCGGTTTTGTTTGAAGAATGAGAGCACAGTATATTGGAATACTATTTTATACATCCAGTAAATACACATGTCCGTTGGAAACAAAACCCAAGCTTGCTTTTTGCACCTCCAGCACCGTTTGAGCTTCAATCCCAAGCAGTGCGTGGCTTGCAAGCAAATGGCGATTTTAAACCAGTTCTTTGTTGTGTCAGGGATGCGTGCAGACGCCTTCTCCAACACTACATGTCTTCCAGCCAGCCAAACCGCATTGGTGTTGCCGATGTGCTCATCCCCCCATGGGAGAAAGCAACACATCAATTGCTCCAGTTGTTCATCGCAGCATGATTTTGGTGCCAAGTCACGAATGCACTGGGCAGCTGCAGTCCTTTGTCACTTCTTGTAGGCACCGCCACCCTGACAAGTCTCTTGCGTGTCTGCAGGATCAAGTCGGTAGAACTGGTTGCACTTGCTGCATGATTGCGGCTTGTTTCACAGCCACAAAATATAGGCAAATCTTCTGGTCTTAACAACTGGCGCCTTTTGATCCCCCCCTAACAGAGATGTCACTTAGCAAAGCCTTTCAATTGCCACAAGACAAGCACTATTGGCAATTGGATATCTTTTGAGGTCGCAGGAGATGCTGCATCCATTGGCACAAGAATTGGGCTTGTCCAATGCATGCACTCTCCACCTTAAGCTTCTCCCCCGGACTTGGAGCATCCGGACTCTTCGTCCGCGCCCCGTCGCCCCGAGGCCACGGAGCGAGTCCTGGGAGGTTTGCCGAAGCAGAACGGCCTCATGAGCCCTGCGGAGAAGAAGACGGTGGCCCTGCACGAGTCAGGTCATGCGGTGGCAGGCGAAGGGACGCGGACGAGCTCAGATGTTTTGAGCCAAAGATGGCTGTTTTACTGAGGAGAGACAGATTGGTGGTTTGGGTGGGTGTGAGATGTGGGGTTTGGATAGGTTGGATGATAGTTTCAACTGGGCACAAGTAGTGACTAAGAATAGCTGGCCAAGAACGGCACCTTCCAGCTTCCGAAATCTCCTTCGTGTGCAATCCATGTCACCGTTGTCACTTTGAGGCGACCGGGTCGGCACGGACCACCTACAACCACCTCGGTCCAGCAGGGAACTGGCCGTTTTGGCGGGACGGGGTCCCTTAGCATGGGACATCTGGGAAGGATGGGACAACCTGCGTTTCTCGAAGGGTTCAATCCGATTTTACGCCGACCGTCACGAGCGTCGCTACGTAGCGACGATCTCGATGGATCCGAGCGGCGAAGCGGAGAGATGGGCAGGCTGGTTCCTGGAACATGCAGATCCTCTACTGCCGCCTGGAGGCAGTGCGACAGGCTCCGCGGACAGGTGGTTGTTGATCTTTGCAGAGTTTGTTGTCATGTGGAACAGACGGCCAAGGTGTCAAGGATCACTGACATACTTCACATACACCGGTACTATCTATCGCATTCTACTGCAGTCTTATCTTCTTTTTGTAGAGAGCTTGTCTTTCCTCCAACATCTTCCGACAAAAACAGACAGACGCAGCGCCTTAGGAAAGTCTCCATTGTTCCTCGGAGCAGTGGAGCGTTGGGCTTTGCTCAGTATCTACCGCAAGAGATGAGCCTTTTCTCCAAAGAGGCAGAGAAAACCAGCGGATTCATGCTGATGGGATGCCGCAAAATGGGTGTTTTTGGATGTTTTTGGAACGTTGTGGTTGGAGGAGGAGGGTTTTTCCGGAAGCCTTGGGAGTTGGATGGTCCAAGGGCGCAGCAATCTGGATCCCTTGGAGCCGGGCCTGAATCGACGTGACGTACCTGATCATCGATCGATCTGTTGTCGCTGCCGTTTCAGCTGGTGGCGTTTGAGCAGTGAGCATCAGAGCATCCACAAAGAATTGTAAGCACCCAGCAACCCGCAGATGTGGGCCCCCCCCAGCTACAAGCAAGACATCACAAACACATGAACTATCATGAACCTCAATTCATCAACCCAGTACTCAGTCTACTCAGTCTCCTTCAGGCCATCCTCGACAAGATCGCTGTGGCGCTGGGGGGGTCGCGCGGCGGAGGACCTCTTTGTGAAACGCATCACCACTGGGGCGTCGGACGACTTGGACAAGGCACAGCACGGTACGCCGGCGTCCGGCACGGCCCAGTCTCGGACGACAGGGCTAGGTAGGGTGACTTGGTGGGTAAATGGGTAAATTGTTGGGGCTTGGTGGATGAATTGGGGGCGAATTTTCGGGGCTTGGTCGGCTTGGTCTCTTTTGATAAGATTGAGCTGAAGTCTCAGGTGCGGTACATGGTTCGGGAGGTTCTGCAAGTGTGCTAGCTTGCGAGCGTCGCCACGGTGTCCCACATTTGCTGAGTCAGAAGGCGTCGGGAAAGCCAGGATCTGCCATTTGGAGTCACTCTAAACTTTTGACCGAGCAGCCCACACATACTGAGACACTGACTCTTCGCTGTGGATATCTGAGCAGGTGGGGTGTACTGTGCATAACCCTCAGGGTTGCACACCGAGCATGCCACATACACACATATTGACTCTTGGCCACCGTCGAAAGACCTGCAGAAACAGTCAGGCCTGCATTTGTCCAGTCAAAAATGAGGCAACACCTGGGTTGAGGCTGGTGACAATGTGATTGGAGGGGTGGCTGAGAGGACATTCAGAGTCTGCCAATGTAATCCAATGTATTATACATTCTTACATTGCTGCGTGCCCTGGGAAGCAACCCGTGGTGCCTTGTTCCTCCGTGATTCCTCAATCATCAAGGCTTTTTGGGATGACGAATGCCACAGATGAGCCACAGAGGACATTGTCCCACAATCCCTTCTGACTGCAACAACTCGAAAATAGGATGGCCGGTCCCAGGCCTAGAAGAGGAGGTTAACACCCCTTAACCTCCAAGCGGGCTATTACTGTAGTAGACACCCCAATCCGGGGGGCACTGGTAGATGTCGGCTCTTCATCCAGGTTTCTTCAACATCATCACTGGCCGAATTTTGTTGGAGCTGTCTTCATGTTCGCGACTTCCACTCCGCCAGCTCCGGCAGGTGACAAAAATGGCGTACTCCATGGTAGCTGTCTATGGAATGAACGCTGAGCTTGGTTTGGTGTCCTATGGCCAGAATAATGCGAGTGAACAGTTCTACAAGCCATACAGTGACTTGGCAAGTGTGAAGGCAGCAAAGCCAATCATTTTGGTACTTGGGTTGAAAACCCAACGAGATTATAACCTGAAGGCAATGTCATAGTCATAGTCTTGTTTTTTCCTCTTTCTTTTCCGGCTATGTGTGGCTCAATTCTTCAGCGCTCCCCAGAAGACAGGCCAGTGATCTGCCTTATTGAACCCTGCACCACCCTCACAAAAGGCACGTGAACGAATATAACAGCACCTATTTGCAGATGAAGGCCTCAAAATATTGATAGATATTGATAGAACATACCACGCGTATCCGCACGTAGTCACATAGATCCTTATTTTTGTCGAGGTCAAGTCGTCATGCAACCATGCTGGCACCTCGTATGTGGAAATACCTTGCCGTTTCACAACGAATTCCCAGATGAAGGCAACACATTCAGCACCTGGCGATCTAAAATCTTAAGGTTCCGCAATCAGGGTCGCTCTCATTTCCTGCTCTATGAAGAGACCATGTGATACTTGGGCTGGGAGAATTTCCTGCCCAGCAGGGTTCCTGCTCGACGGTCTTTTTTCCCTTGGATTTAAGGTGAAGAGACCGGACGCAAGATCGACGAGCAGACCAAAGGTATTGTGGAAGAGCAATACAGTCGCTTGGCTTTTGGTGATTTGAAGATCAACTCAAGGACACGGAGTTTCACTCGATTCTCGGCATGTGTGGGTCTTCCAGCTTTACTTCGCTATACAATATAGACAGTACTTAAAGATATAAGTACTCGATCCGTGTTTTGAAGGATCTTCCATTGTTTTTTGGGGTTTTCCAATTCTAGCAAGAAAGATATATATATAGCTATAATATCTACACACCAAGCAAGCAGCTCTCCGCTGCTGGGAAAACCCTCATACACAAGTACACAGTGAGGCGTTCAGATGCTGCAGGTTCACACCAAACGCGCTGACCATTTTTTCCGAAGAAGTTCCGGTGCGAGGAACTCGGTGTCCATGTGAACTGCGCCAGGGTCGAAACGCCAAGGGTCGAGACGGTCTGCATGGGGACGGTCTGAATGAAGGACACCACTTACATGTCGGGTGTCAGACACCTACACAGTGCAGGTCGGGTCAAGGCACTGTTGGCAGAGCAGGGGGAGAAGCTGCAAGCTTTGGCAGAGAGGCTCGCTGAGAAAGAGATGCTTGGCCCCAGATGACTCGAAATGGTCACGAACATCCACTGAATCCCGCAGGGTTTACTTAAGACAGTGAGTGCTTTTTTGGGGGATGGTCATGAAGTACTTTGTTCCAAACGGTCTCTGTCTCAACCAAACCTTCTTCCTTCCACGAGTCTGTCACGAGTCTGTCACTTCATTCCAGACGGCCACCCGCCCACAAATTAACCCCCCCCTGAGATACACATGTGTGCGCAAGACAACACCACGCACCCCCCGCAACCCCCGCTTGCTTCAACTCAGGACTTTGGTCTATCATGATCTCGTGGAGGTCTTGGGCGAGCGTCCCCATCCGATCAAAGCTGAGCTGTCCAAGTTCGTGACGGCAGGTGCACCGGATGGGGTCACCCGATGGGGGGGAGTTCGGACACCTTGCTAAAAGATGTCAAAGGTATCTGGAACTCACCATCCAGCTAGTTTTGATCTGGAGACCGATTGGTGAACTCTTTCATTGCAGATGTAGCCAGATGGTATTTAATAGTCGAACCCTTGAGTTGGCCGAATATCCAATGCAGTCGCAGATGACCAAGAAATGCTCGCGATCTCTGAGGTGCCAACCCTTTCACAGTGCAAACGGCGACGGAAGTGTCGGAAGAAACGTCCGAAAGCGCTGAGAGCAAGGAGGAGTGAGGAGGAGTCAGGCTTCTCAGCACTGCTGAAGCAGACTGCGAGATAGAGCCGCTGACTCTGACCGAGAGACCACAGAGAGACCTCAGACCCAGGCGAGCTGCCAGATGTTCTGTTTTCCCAGAGCCCTAGAGGCCCATCCAATGGCCATAGTGCTGATTGAGGCTCCTCTTGTGAGACAGCCTGAAAGACTGGCTTGCCGGCCCCCCCCCAGAACCCCATCTTGGCAATGCTGTTTTAGAACTCCCACGAATTGAGCCAAGGCATCGTCGTTCGTGGGCCGGCAAGCATTGCTTGGGATTAGATCGGGAATTTTTTGAGGTGACAACTGTGGAGGCAACGGTAGTTTGTGCTGTTATGTTTGTTGTATAACTATCTTGTAAATGGATTCGGCAGATTGTTCCTGTTGACCCACTAGTCTACCTGATACATTCTTTTGTTGCCGTAGCGGTTTCTCGTATCGTGAAGAATCGAAGACGTCTATAGGCCCGAGGCCCGATCTCATTTTTCCAGCATGGTATGTTGCCTTCACAGCGCGAAGAGAGTCCCCTTGAACAGTCACTTTCAGAACGCCTCCGATTGGACAGTCACGACTTAAAGGGACAGATGTCATAAGCACAGAGCCCGACTCTCGTCCAGAATCCCGGCACCAAAAAGGCGTGGGTCGCGCTCCTCGGGCTCTCGGGCACTCGGCAAGGGAGTCGGCTTCCATGTTGTCCACTGGTTCTTTTCCTTGGATATCGGACATGACGAAGATTTTGGGTGCATGCTTGGACACTTTGTTTGATCGGAAAGATCATGGTGGACAGCCTCAAGGTTGATGGAAGTGGAAAAGATGCCGTGAACAATTGGGAATCCCTTCTTCTGTCGGACAATGTGCGCACTGGGTTATCTATCCCAACTGACTGGGTTTCTCACAGTCAGTGGTGCCATGTGCGGGTGGGACATCGCAATGCAATTTGTGTTGATTCCAGATCCAGCCACATGGTGAGTTGAGGTGAGAGTGCGTGAGAGTCGGGTCGTTCTTGTTTCGCCCGGCGAGCATCACGACTTGGTTTGTCCTAGCTCCTATGTACTATGAAGATACAAAGTGTGATTTTTGGCAAGTTGTGTTTTGTGTCACGAGCTGACATAAAGCTCAACATGGCTGGAAATGGACACATGATGAAAAAGGTGTAGCACGGCGCCACAGTCCGTCGCTGTTGTCCACCAGTTGCCAGGCGCCGCAGTCGCGAGAGGACTCCATCACAGGTCAGTTCGATTGGAATGGGGAGACTGCAGAGACCCTTCTGCCAGAACTGGCAGGGCAGGAAGACAAACTAAACCAGTTTGAAGTGTCTGGCTAATGCCCACGGCCAATATGCTTATGGAAGCTTGAAAGGCGAAAGAGTCCCACTGGTTGGTGTGTCTTCATCCCACTTCGTCTGATGGATATTGGATCACCTTCACAGGGCTGTCCTCACCTTCCAGATGCTTCAATGATATGAGGATGAAAGGACCCTTTATGATCTTCATGATCTTCATGCTTCCTTGGGCATCAGAAGGGAAAAAGAGGAGAGAAAGGAGGGAAGAGCAAGTGCTTGCACCTGAAGTTGCTAGGAGCAGGCATATTAACCCCAAAGCTCAATATTTGCACACCGATTAGAACACTTGGTGATTTGTACCCCTCCAGGCAACAAGCAGCAAGAGCTTCAGGTGAACTGTCCAACGCCAATATATGCTATATACATTAAGAACAGACCCTGGAAGTGCAGGCCGTCATGTCCTTGGTAATTATACGTGATTGTGAAGCGACTATTGCAGGTGTATGCCAAGCACATGGCATAGAAACCAGCATTTGTGCCAAGCACATATGCTGAGGGCTACGAAGTGTACACCGGCTACCCGGGCTACGGGGGCTACGCGGCGCTTTGGCCGCCACCCCCCGTTACCGCCAGTCTCAGAGGACTTTGGACAGAGAGATAGTCATCTGAGTTATCCTACAGAGCCCTACCCGTCATCAACTCGAGAAAGCAAGGTCCAATGGGAAGAGAGTGCAAGGAACATCTGAGGACGAGAACTAGTTTGAAGCTTTTGTTGAACATGGAGCAAATCGCTTCAGACATCTCTACCTTTTCTCGGAGGACTTGCGGCTCCGCTTGGAGAAGCTCGAGGCCGCAGCTGAGAAGTGCGCTTTTTGAAGATTGGTTTCTGCTTGTCTGGGCTTTGGCGCTGATTTTTGTGTTCCTAGTAGCGATGCCAGGAGCCCCTAGTAGCGTCCTTGATCCTTTGAGTAGGAGAGACTTGGACTCTGAATTTCATCGGTCCATGCATTCCATTTCTCTCAGATAAAAGACATGACATTGGACGTTTTGGAGTTGGAGCGCGGCCAGCGCGGCCATCCAAAAGGACCAACTTCCTTATGTGGAATTTTGCTGTGGCTCAAATGTGAGGTGCACCGGGCCCAATCTTTTGAGGGAGCAAATCTCAACTGTGACGGTGCAACAGCAAATCTTTGACACATGCTCAGATTGTAAGATATGACTAATATGTTTGCCCATTGCTTGGTAGAACTTGCAAAAGCTGCAAGTCAGCAGGGGTCAGCATCCCAGCATTTCAGACAAAATCGATCCTTCTGCGCATAGAGCATGTCCTGTGCTTTTGTCATGTCCTGCCCTCGTCCTTGTTCCGACCCACCACGCTGAGAGCAGCTTCGGCATGTATTCCAACCGAGAGCTGCTGGAGAGTCCAAGAAGTGCTTCAGCCAGCCTGGGCTCTGGAAGCCCCTTGTCCTCCAGCGGCTTCAACCACACTTGGGGTCAGAGCCGCACCTGGCAGAGCAGCACATGGAGAGACAAGGACTGAACATAATGCTTGGATCTACAATCTTTGGACCGAGGTATGTTCTTTTGAGGTATACTTGGAGCTTCTGGCTGTCAGGCTTCATTTAATCAGTATCCATGTCGCTGTATTTTGCCAGTAATGGAACATTGACAGCCAGATGCCCAGGGCTTTGCGCCTATCCACCGCAGGACTTCCGATTGGACCTCTCTGCACGACCAAAGAATAGCGCAGAGCTGGTGGCAGCTTGGTAGAAAGATTACCCTGCCACCAAACTGTACATTGTCAGTAGAG